TGTGTGTGTGTGTGTGTGTGTGTGTGTGTGTGTGTGTGTGTGTGTGTAGTTTCTTACAGGAATTTGCTGGATATAGAATTCTGCCTAAATTGCTTGGACTGTGATTCCAGAAAGCTTTGTGAAATCTGTGTTTGCACAAGAGTGCCATTCCTGGAGAGCAGCAAAATTAACTTTCGAATTGACTGTGACAAGTCCTGGGTGACCAGTAAGCCAGGCGTTTGCTTGGAGTCAATAAGACATTGCTTGAGGTAGCTCAAAACATAACAAAGCAAAACAAGAAAACAGGAGATGATTCATTTTTGCTTTGGTTGTCCAGCTTTTTAGCACTTTCTCCGGGCTGCTACCATGCTTCTTTCAGGGTAGGGTAATAGACACTTCTGTCCCTTGTATTTGTACTCAGGTGTCCCTGAATAGCAAGAAAAGGAAAAGGGAAAGTGAGGACAGCAGTCTGGGTAGATTAAGAACATTTTTTTTTTGGTGGGAGGAGGAGGAAAAGGAGATAGCAATTGTGCTAGATGGGAGGAGGATTTTGAATAAAAGGCCATAGAATTGATCCTGTAGGCAATTATGTGGAGCTTTTGATATAATGAATGATAAGAGGTTTTGTGACTAACCCTTAGAATGAGAATGTTTAGTGTGAAGCAAGAAGAGGTATGGGGGAAAAGTAGGTCAGGCTTGAGACTGGCATTTGGGTATATTTATCTCAAGTCGAAGATTCCCTCTATTACATCCTACTGGTCTTCCACAATTGGTTGATGAAATGGGGAAGATTAAGAGTATGTTGGAGAGGAACAATTTAATTATAGTGATCTTCTGCAAGTTTATCCTTTAGTTGGTCATGCTCCATTTATCCCCAGGAGAGATCCTAAGGAATGGGACACATGTTCCTGTCATCTCCCTAAGGGACTCCCTCCAGGAAGATCTTTTTCTAGATCCTTTTCTTTCTCTATTCCCTCCCTTCCCCCGACTGTATCCACAATACCCAGACCCGATATTCCCTGATAGAGGTACATTGCCATGTATTCAACTAACCAATCATGAAGCCATTCCCTTGGATGCAGATTAATTTATTTCCCAAAGGCCTGCAAGTTTTAATAGGCTGGTTCATAAGTGTTTGAAAGTCTATCCCAGCACATTCCAAAGGCTTAGCAGGGCCCATAGGAAAAGCTGAGCAGTATCAGACAACTCTCTGAATAGGAAACACTTGTCTCCTTGGGGCATCATAGTGCTGCACCTGATAAGTCAAGATCATTGTGGAAACTTCCCTGGGGATGATCTTCATCTCTTTCTGAACCCTCCCCAAAGGACCATAGAACTGAACCAGTAGGAGCAGATGGATAGAAGACGGATGGTGCCAAGAATAATGTTCCCAAGGACTTTCTCCAAAAGGCTAGTTCTGGTCTTGGCCATTCAAGTTGTTCTGCTAATTTTTATCAAGGGAATCCTCCACAGAGTAAAGGCAAAAAGACCTCATGGAGAGCAGAATGCCTTGTCTCCTTCCTTACAGGATGATTCAACAAGTTGGTCTTTTGGGGAGATGACTGTTTATGATCTAGGTAAGATTGCACATGGACTCCTTGGAATCATGATCTGTGGGGAAGGGCTTCAGAGACCAAATCTTGGAATTGGGTTGGGGAACTTTCCACTTGCAAACAAAAATGTATATTTATGCTTCAGTTGTGTAATAAAAATCATTTTTCAAATGTCCCTGGGCTTAATGGAGAAGCCAGGATCCTTATCTAACTGGTGACCATGTGCCCATACGAAATCTGTCAGTCTATATCACATGTGCACAACAAATGTCCTACACATGATGAAAGACAAGGGAGTGGATGAAAAAGTTGCTAAAATGGTCAGGAAAAGGTGTAGGAGGCTTCATTCAAGTGATTTTAAAATGGCAACTGAGATTAGGAGAGTAGAATTTAGTACAGCAGAGAGCAGAAAAAAATTCCCATTAAAAATAAAATGTGCAATGAATGCTCAGGTCACTACTAGTAGTTCTGGCAACTACTAACTAGACATGAGCTCCATATGGGTAGGGTGGTCCTTGTTTAATTTTTGTATCTTCCCCTACACTTAGCATAGCATTCTACACAAAATAGTTCATTCAATTTTTGTTGAGGTTGTTTAAGAAACATGAGGAAAATGGGAGATGGTGACATGAAGATGAGAAACAATGTGTTCCAATATAAGGAGAGCTGGCCTTACAGTCAGGAAGACCTGGGCTCAAGAACTGCCTCAAACACATTGTGTGACTCTGGGCAAGGTACTCAACTTCCCAGTTCTCTAGGAAAATCTTTAAAAATGTAAATTATAGATGTATTTCCTCCCTGGAACCATTCCTTATAGCAATGAAATGTCAGATCTGACTCAAACATATGTGAAAATGAAATGGAACATCCATCCATTCCATGGTTGCAGAGAGGAGAGAAACCCTGAGGTTAAAAGAGTGGTTAGTGGAATTGGTATGGCTATGGTGGGGCCAGTGTAGGAGACAACAGGATAGCAGCAGGGTCAGCAACAACAGAAACAAAGCAAAACGTTAAAAAACAAAACAAAATTAAAACAGGAGCAGGAGTCAATGGCTCTTCTTATAGATGAGGTCCTATTTTGATAGAATGCAAACTCCTTTAGGGTAGACACTTCTATTTTCATCTTTGTATGCCCAAAATGTAGCATAGTGACTAGAACACAGTGAAAGCTTGCTGATTGATTGATTGTAAAAACATAAGGTTTCAGAGCTAGACGGACCTTAGATTTAGTCTAACACATTATTTTTCCTTCTGCTTGTGCTCTTTCCAGGTGGTCTGTCTCTTGTTGATGCTCCAGAATTGTTCTGTCTACTGGAGATGTCATCTAACTCTAGGAGTAGGCAGCCTAGAAAAGGTGCAGAATGTGACCAATACAAGAGGCTGGGTTAAACCCATTTCTCTAATGCTGTAGTTGAGTCCTCTTATCAGTGCGTCTAATAGAGACAGTCATGGTCTCTGAAAGGCTCTCCACAAATGTTTTCCCCGATGGTCTGACTTAATGCCAGAATTTCCAGCATTAGATATTTATTTCTTTGGGTTAAACCATGTAATCACCTGAATTTCCCCTTAAAATTCAAACATCCCAAGTATGGAAACATACTGAGTCTTTCAATGGCACTAGCAACTTAGTGTGAATTTGATAAACTGGTCAGAACTAGTCAGGTACCCAAGTCCTGAAAGTATGGGACACCTAACAAGTAGTGTTTAATGGAAGCAGTGGGAATAGTACCCCTAGAGCATCGATGCTGTGCAGCAGATATATTAGAGCGTCTGATCCCAAATAGGACATTTTCCTGCAGTATTTTATATCCTCTGAGGCCAAGATTTCTGAATCTCAGAAGTAAGAGAGTCTTTGAGAAATTGGGATGGATAGACAGATTGGAGTTTGCTTGAAACATTCTCTTTGAATTTCCTTAAATTTAGATAATTTTACAAGACACTCCATGACGCAACAGGAGATGGAACAGGAAGAGGTTATCATCGGGCAACCAATAAAGCTGAAGGATGGAGGGAATCGTGTCCAGTCATTGGAACCCAGGGCTGGAAAGAAGGCGTGACTCAAGGTCTTGAGCGAACTCTACCCAGACTCAGCACTTTTCCATAACTGGGGTGAAGGCCTATCAGAGTCCCAGCAGACTGAAGCTCAGAGCCTCTTCATGAAGTTTGGTTACAATGTTTACCTGAGTGACCAGTTGCCCCTCAATCGGTCTTTCAAAGACGGTCGCAATCCCAGGTGAAGTTGGATTTACATAAGTCTATTCATGCTGAAAGTGCTTCCACTTAAGGTTACACAATTTTGAGAGTGCGGAATTGGGAGGATAGATAGGAAGAAAATGGTATAAAGAATGAACTGAGGGAAGTCAAGGCATTATAGTAGCATAATGAAATCTAGAAGGAGAAGTAGTGTTTTTCTTTTTTCTCATGTGAGGAAATTGAGCCTTGGAGAGATTAAATGGCCATGAAAATACAGACAGTGAATGGAGAATTCATAGATCTATAGGATTATTAGAATTGAAATGGACCTTAGATATTGTCTATACCAACCCCTTGATTTTACACATCAGGAAACAGAAGCACAGACCATTAAGTGAATTGCCTGAGGTAACACAGTACCCTAATAATCTGACAATCTACTCAAATTTCTCAAATTCTCTTTCCAGGTCCCCTTCAACATATGACCAACTTTAAATAATGTTCTTTTCCTTTCTTTCTTTCCCTTTCTTTCCCTTTCAGAATCCCTCTGTCCTGTCCACATTTTTTTCCTATTACTGAGCATTCTTTTATGTGCCCAGCTCTGTGAGACACTATGGAAAATACAGAAGAAGATCTTAGAGTCAAAGCAGAAAATCAGAAAATGAAATAACTGCATAAAACTGTAAACTACACGACTTACAATTTATTTAAAAAGTTGCAGTCATTAAGTTTAATGAAATAATAAAACTTTTTGTTTCCTTCCATATTCTCTTCTTCTCCAAATTTTTTATATAGTTGTAAATTGTTCTAATACACTCTCTGCTTGGGCATGACTTCCTGTCCTCCTTTATTTCTAAGTATTCTTCATACAGGCAGCTAGATGGCACAGTGGATAGAGTGATGGACCTGTAGTCCAGAAGACCAGAGTTAAAATTTGGCCTCAGGCATTTACTAGCTGTCTAACTTCAGGCAAGTCACTTAACCTCTCTTTGCCTCAGTTTCCTCATCTGTAAAATGGGGATAATAATAGCACCTACCTCTTAGGGTTGTTGTGAGGAATCAAACATGATAATACTTATAAAGTGCTTAGAACAGTGCCTGTCATGTAAGTGCTATGTAGCTGTTGGCTATCATTAGTCACTTTTTTTTTTCCATCGTGCTTGTAGTCCACAATTTTTTCAGCTGTTTCCTAAACGCTGATCATATCCACTCTCTGGAGCACTGGAGAATAAGGTTAATGGATGGTCAGAAAAACTGTGGTAGCCAGGAAAAAGAAAGTCAGTTAGCATATATACAATTCTTTTTTTTGTTACTCTTTTTCATTACTGTGAATCTGATAGAAATATCTATTTTATCTCCTGTGATCCTTTCTATCCCTTGCTTGGTAAAGAATTCTTCCCCTACCTGATAGGCCTTCACTCCAGTTTTGGAAGTGAATTAAATCTGCATAAAATTTGCTTAAGAACTTGAATGTTCCTTCTTTCCAGGCCTGGAAAGGTGTCTCTATCCCTCTTTCTCTAATTTGTTTATGAATGACCTTTTACATCTAGGTGACATTTTCATCTGGAGCTTTGGAGAAAGCTAATTTCTCTGTCAGACTGGTTTCCAGTTCCTCATCAGTTTTTATCAAATAGCATTTGTCCTTTTCCAGATAGTTGGAGTCCTTGGTTTTATTGAACACTATGTTTCCATGTTTGATTGCTTCTGGGTCTTGTGTGGTTTGGCCTTGGGCACCATCCCAAACTTCAAGCTTTTTCATGCCGCTGTTTTCAGAGCTAATTCTGGGGGTAGACAAGTTCTTGGTGCTTCCAAAGTGGTATGATCTGGAGAGAGGCATGATCACTGTTTTCCTGGTCTGAGCTCTGGTCTTTACCCAGAAATGCCCCAGCACCTCCACCAGCAAGTGCTGGTGCTCCTCTCTGCTTTGGAACCTTGACCAGATCCCCTGCTCTCTTGTCACTGACCACAGGTGCTCCTCTCTTCTGGGAAACTGCATATGCATAGCAGAGTTGCCAATCAGAGCTAGCTGTGCCCAGGACCAGCAAAGGGCCCCCTGTAATTTCTTTCAGTCCACTTGTCTGCCCCTTTACGGTCTCTGGGTAATGAATGAAAAATCATTTACTAAGTGCTTATTATTTGCAAAACGCTGTGCTAAGTTCAAAGAATACAACAAATAAAAATATAAAACAATTCCAGCTCCCCAAGAGCTGACCTTTTCATCATGGAAGACAACACATAAAGATTTCAGCTGTTAAATGGAAAGGTCTCATGGTTTATGTGAATGTGTATGCATGCATGTGTGTGTGCGTATGTGTGTGTGTCCATGAGCATGTGTGTACACACCTATCTATCCATCTATCTAGAAAAGTTGTATAGGTGTTCTATCCTATTGCATGTCATAATGTGCATAATAAACATTCTTCATCCACTTTACCTGTGTGGATGGTCAGGCTAAAATATTTCAAATGGTTATGGATCATTTCAGCAGCATCATCAATGTCCTGGGATTTGATGTAAATATAACAGTATCATCCACCAATGGGAGATCTAAACTAGCCTGATGCTTATAATTAGACGTTTGCTAAATGAAGTTACATATGTTATAACTTTCAAGGAATCTTGAACAGTTCTGAATAGAAGACACCTTGCTGGGAGAGAACTTTTAAAACACCATTTTGCTTTACTGAATAAAATACTTTTTAAAAAACCATCATCAAATATTAAGCATGGTCAGTTCTTAGATTTTGTACATATTTGGGGCCCAGACATCCACATCACTTCCTGGATGGTTTTTCACCATAGCTCAACTCTCTCATTATCTCCATTTCACACAGATGCTTAGATTCTAGCACTGGGTCCTTCAGCTCTGATGGGATAGTGATTTCACCTTATCTTACTGGGGCCCTGACCTTCATGCCACTTCCTTGAAATCTCCCTGGAGATGCCTCCACTCACGTAGCCCTTTCTTCACATTGGTGAGCTCTTGCCCAGAACTTCCACTTGAGGAAATGCCCCAGCCAACCATAGCTCACTTCTCTCATGGCTACTCTCTTGACTCTACAGATGTTTCCACTTCACCCCACCCTGCCCTTCTGCTATTTAGCTCTTAAGTGTTGTCTTCCCCCATTAGAATGTAAGCTTCTTGAGGGCAGGATCTAGCTCACTTCCTTGTACTTGTGCTCCCAAAGATTAGCACAGTGTCTGGAACATAATAAGTGACAAATAAATGTTCTATCCACCTAGCCTATCTATCTAATCTACTGCAGAATAATGCTTATGAAAGGTTGCCTTTTCTCTACCTGTAATTATCATCCAGGATGGATGAATAGCCTATGATATATGAATAAATGATTCTTATTAAAATTTTCTATAGATGGGGAAGAAGACATATATGTCAGTAGTTATTGGTGCCTTGGTCACTTTTTTAGTGTTAATTTTGTCCAAGATTTTTTATTCTCTTTTGGTATTGTCTCTGCCTTTAGATACTATATAAACATATATCCACACATTTATGCCTACCTATATACATACACATCCATTGTGTACAGACCTATCTATTCCTTAGAGTCAGAAAGACATAGATACAAGTCCTGTCTCTGATATACATTGATTGTGTGACCCTAAGGCTATAGATAGATAGATAGATGGATGGATGGATAGATAGATAAAGAGTTGTGAATATGAATGTTGTGATGAATTTGTATAGAGATTTTCCTCAGAGAGAATTTCCTTTAACCGTGAAAGTAGATATCTAGAATACACATACACATACATGCCAGAGTAGAAGTTCAGAATTTCATGAGTTTTCTTCTATTATATATTTGGTTTTTACTCATTTCCTGCCTTTTATTGATGAAATTTTCCTCCTTTGTACAACAGAGACAAATTTATTATTCTATTTTCCCCTAGTTTTTAAGGTGGTTTTGAAAAATATGTGTATTTAACTAGTTGAGTAGTGGTTATCTGTCAGGGATGATTAAGGCATTCCAGACAGAGGGATGGGCTAAGTGACTTTGGAGGATGTGGCCTAAACCATACAATAATAATGCATCATCATTGATAGTTTGTTCTCTTAAAGGTGTCTTGAGAAGACATATCCACACCAACTTCCAACTCTCAGTGTCATTCTCACAATTATGAATGAAGCCATGTCAATCATACAACGGGCCATCAACAGCATCATCCATCGGACTCCTGCCCATCTGCTGAAAGAGCTCATCCTGGTAGATGACTTTAGCTCAGATGGTGAGTTGAATACTGGGGAGGCACTTTGTTTCTGGTTTGGAAGTTATACAAGTCTTACAGAGGGATTTACTAACTTTTTTGGGTCTAAACTAGTTTGATTCACATAAAGAAATTCGAGAGGGTATAGAAAAGAGCCACATATCTGACAAAAGGATTAGAGCATGTGACTTGTAAGGAAAGAGTAAAGGAACAAAGGAACTGCAGGCTGGAGAATAAAAGGCTTAAGGCTGGTAAGAGTTTTCACCTAGGAATCTGGTGACACTTTTCAAAGATTCTGACTCAGAGGATAATCTGCCCCGTTCTCTAGCTCCACTGGGGACAAAACAAATTACAGCAACAAGAATTTAGGCCGGGGATAAGGATTTTTTGACAGAGAGAGATGTTAAACATTGGAATGTATGTGTGGGGGAGGCTGTATAATCCAAGATTACCTAATCCCATTCCCCTAATATCTTATGGATTTTTTTTTAATAATTGGACATTAGAATGTTGAGAATACAGAATGATAAATTGTTGCTAAAGGACATAATCTGACACAGAAGCTCCTGGTTGACCCATCAGTCTCTGTGACTATGGATCAGTGCTCCTTGCAAAAGACAAGGTGCTCCAAATTTCTTTAGTGGGTCCCTACAAAACCATAGGGCAATTCAAATGGAGGTTTAAATCCCCTCAAAATAGGGGGAATAGGATAGCTTTAAAAGAAATCAAGCTCAGATGAACATAAAAGGGAATTAAACAATTGGGATTGAGGTTAACTGGAACCAAATCCCAAGATCCCAGTCAAACCCTTCAGATATCATGTGCAGCCCTGGGGATGCCGCCTTGAGGCTCTGACTCTGGTTCAAGTGGAGGCCAGATTCATCATGGGGGCAGCATGACCCAAAAGAAGAAAATCGGGTAATCTCTGTCTCTGTCTCTCTGTTTTTGTTTCTGTTTCTGTCTCTGTCTCTCTTATTTTTCCTCACAACAAGGAAAAATTTCTTAAACTCAACGTGCTTGAAACTGAATTCATTATCTTTTCTCCCAAATCGGTGCCCCTTCCAGACTGCCTTATTATTGTCAGGAACATCACAACCCTCCCAGTTACTCAAGCTTGAAATCTGGGTGTCAGCCTCAACTCCTCACTCTTTCTCAATCCCACCCCATATCCAGTTAATTGTCAAGTCCCATTGATTTTACCTTTGCAACAACTCTCATGTATATTCCTTTTTCTCCTCTGACACTGCCATCAGCTTGATTCAGTCCCTTATCACCTCACAATAGCCTATTGCAATAGCCTGCTGGTTGGTCTTCCTGCCTGATTCTCCCCACTCTAGTCCATCCTCCTCTCAGCTGTCAAATTGACTTTCCTAAAATACAGATCTGATCACGTCACACACTCCCCTCAACAAATTCCATTGGTTCCCTATCTCCACCAAGATCAAATATAAAATCCCTTGTTTGGCATTCAAAGTCTTTCAAAACTGCACCCCACCCCAACCCCACCTTACCAATCTTCTTTTACCTTACACCACCCCATGTACTTTTAATCCAGTGACACTGGCCTCTTTTCTGTTCCAGGAACAGGACACTCCATCTTCATGTATTGACTCCACAGTTAATATGTCATAGGTGGGACTTGAACCCAAGGCTCCCTGACTTAAAGGCCATCTTCATAGCTCAGCCCTTGCTTTTCCCAAATCCACTTTCACCTAAGAGAAGTCCCTTCTACTAGGTTCTCCTACTGTGCCCTCTGGAATTCTCATTCTTATATAAATATTTCCCTTTCAACCTTGATATATTCCCTTTGACAAATTATCTCTATCCATTATATGGATTGGCAGAAGGAATAAGAGATTCCCTCCCTTCTATGACAGGTGCTCTTCAGGTGTCGTAAACAAAGGTTTATCCTATGTAATTTCACAAAGATGATTGGAGGCCTCATCAGATTGATAAGAGTCTCTCTTGATCAACTCCTCTTACAGTGGTGTTGTTTCACCAGCTATATCTTAGGTTGAATTCTATCATGAATGGTATGTATGGATGTATGGATCTGTCCTGCTCCTGAAATATAAACCAGAAAACAATGCACAGTTGAGTCCAGATCCTTTCAGATATACTTAAGCACAAATGGACCACATAGAACGAGGTGTAAGTTATATGTACACATATTGCTTTGGAAAAATCTAGAGGTATCTAGCTTGGAAGACAATGGTGCATGTGCCCCTTTGTTAAGGTGAAAGTGGGCGTAGAAATTGTAACAAGGGAGATTCACCCTAACACTTAATATCCCAGGAATTTGTTGAACATTCAATAAGGATATCTCTACCCATATTTACAAAGTACATATTAATTGTTGTCGTTGTTGTTCAGTTGTTTTTCAGTGGTGTCCAACTCTTTGTGACGCTATTTGGGATTTTCTTGGCAAGGACACTGGAATAGTTTGCCATTTCCTTCTCCAGTTCATTTTAGAGATGAGGAACTAAAGCAAACAGAATTAAATGACTTGCCCAGAGTCACACAGCTAGTAAGTGTCTGAGGCCAGAGTTGAACTCAGGAAGATGAGTCTTCCTGACTCCCGGCCTAGCACTCTATCCACTGTACCACTTAACTGCTGTGCCATATTGAATGCTGCATCAATAAAAATTGTGCTTTGTTGCTAGATGAACTAAAGGAAAATTTGGGTAAACAGATCCAGGTTTACAACCTCAAGTATCCCAAGCTGCTGAAGCTGATTCATCACACGAAGAGGAAGGGGCTCACTCAGGCCCGTATCTCTGGCTGCAAAGCTGCTAAAGAGGATGTGGTCATTATCTTAGATGCTCATGTTGAAGTGAATGTTGGTTGGTAAGACTCCATATATTGGATATATATCTGGGGAAGGGGAATAAGAAAATGATATACCTTTTCATGGGTCCCTAGAGGGATAAGGTAGAGATGGGCAAAGATGGCACCAGATCTTAGACAAGGGGAAGCCCAAAGGAAGAAGATCCTTTTGTCTCTGGCAGTAGGTATAATGTAATGCAAAGGCCTTCCTAATATCTCTAGCATATACTTCCTTTTTTCTTTTGATTCCACCACCACAGGTCCTCACCACCTCACTCCTAGACTATTGCAATAGCCTTCTGGTTGGTTTCCTTCCTTCACTCCACTCAAATTAATTTACCTAAAGTGATCATGTGACCTTCCTCTCCCCCCCCCCACCCCATTCAATAAACTTCAGTGGCTCTCTGTCACCTAGGATTCAAATTTGGCCACTTCTGAACAATTTAAGCTGTATATATCCTAATTATACATAGCTGGTTTTGTGTCATCTTTCCACACTAGTCTGTGAGCTCCTTGAGAGCAGGGATTGACTTTTGTCTTTTTTTGTATCATTATGGCTTAGCACAGAGCCTAGTGCAGTGTAGGCACTGAATAAATGTTATTGACTGACTGATTACCTAGAATATTCTAATACTTCAGATTGAAATAGAGAGTTTTGAAAAGGACAAAAAGACTCATGTCACAAAACTTGAGATTTATTAAAGGCAGCTAGGTGGCCCAATGAACTTGGATCATTGAACCTGGAGTCTGGAAGTCCTAAATTCAAATCCCATCTTGGACACTTACTGGCTATGTGACGGTGGACAACTCATTTAACTTCTATCACCATCTGTTTCTTTCTCTGTAAAATGAAGGTGACAATGGCAATCACCTCACAGAATAGGTATCTGATTTTGTTTCTACTTCCATGGCATCTCTTGCATCTGGTCCCTTATCTCTATTCACACAGCTACCACCTTAGTTCAGGTCCTATCCCTTGTCCTCTGGACTATTGCAATTTTTTAATTGTTCTCCCTGCCTCAAGGTTTTCCCCACTCAAAATCTTTCCTCTTTAGCTTCTGAAATGATTTTCCTAAATCACAGGTCTAATTATGTCCTCCTCTATTCAGTAGAATCCAGTGATTCCTCTAGTATCTAATATAAACTCCTCTGTTTGAGGAGTTCCATTCCCTTATTATTTTGCTTTTCATCGACTTCCCCATCTTACCTTTCTTGTCTTGTTACACATTCACACATTCTATGGTCCAACCAATTTGGTCTTCTTACTGTTCTTTATACATACCAATCCTCTCCTGTTTCCACGCTCTGGCTGCACACCCTACTTAGAACACATTCCATCCTCACCTCTTTCTCTTAGAATCTGTAGTTTCCTAAAACACCCAGCTGAAGTGCTGCCTTCCACATGAAACCTTTCCTGGTCCCCCCTCCATCTGTTAATATCTTTCTGCAATTTATATTGCATGTATATATTGCTACTTCCCCAACTTCAACTAATTGGTGGCCTAGGTCCCCTGAGAGCAATGGCTACTTGTCATCTCAGGATTCCATAATCAAGTAACTCTGAAGATTGTGGGGTTTCTAATGCTATCACACATGAGCTTACACTGCCGTGCTCCTAACATTATCAGCCATAGTGAATTAAATTTTAGAAATGTTATTTACAAAGCTAGTGTAGAAGGGACAGGTACAAAAAGAATCCTCCCCAAACTCTGGAGTACACTCTTTCACAAATACACACAGAATGATAATAATAATAATAACAATGGTGATGATGATGATGATGATAGCTATTATATTTACATAGCACTTTATGGTTGCAAAATGCTTTAGAAATATTATCTCTTTTTTCTTCCCAACAACCCTAGGAGGTAGGTACTATAATTATCCCCATTTTACAGATGAGGAAACTGAAGCAGATAGAAGTTAAGTGACTTGCCTGGAGTCACACGGCTAACAAAAGTACGAGGCTAGATTTAAACTGAAGTCTTCTAACTCCAGTGCTCTGTTCACTGTCCCACCAAGTTACTCCAAATGCAAAGAATAGTCACAAGCCTAATGTACAATACTGAGGCACAACGTAGAGAATGTATGTATGGCCAAAGGATAAATGCATAACTAAGGATTATTGGAAGTATTTTTTTAGAATTCACAGATGGTATTCTTTTCAAATGCAAGGAGATATTGCTCTTATCTTCAGCAAGTCTCCCTCTGCTCCTGGCTATATTTGTTACAGGTCCAGTTTCTGATGACATGGTCATGGGAGGGATGCTACCCCTGGCTATCAAATGGAGTTGATGGTCTTAACATCATTAACATTCTTTTATTCCTAGAACTAAATTAAACTAGAAACTTTCACCCAAGAATGACTCAGAATTCCTTGGGTTGTCTTTCAATCAATCTGCCTTCCTGATCCCCTAGAACAGAATCTGATTTTTGAGAGGTGCTTAATGTTGGGGTAGAGGGATTTCCAACTACAAACTGGTCTTGATATAAATCCATCATTCTGCCCTAATCACTCTGGAGGTTCCAGACTCACCCTAAAATTTCAACTGTTGTATCTCACCATCCAGTAGAACTGTAACTAGCAATTTTGGTACCCTGAGCCTAGTCTCAAAGAAACTTTTAAAGATAAGTTTAGTTGGGTGGAGAGACCCTGAGAAATATAGCCTGTTGATGGGGAAAGACAGTAAGATACCACTAGTTTGTTGCTGGAAAAGACACCACTGAGTTTCAGGGAAATAGGGGCCAGGCTGGGGAGAAATTCTCCTGGGGTATGGTTGCTGGAGGAAGGAATTATGTTATCTGGTAGCTTCTTATTTTAACTAGTTGATCTTGCTAACTGCTTAGCTGATTTGTCTCTATGCTGCTGAAGTAGTGTGAATTCTGTTTGCACCCTCTAAATTTTGGTGCCTTGGGCCAGTCACCTCATCCTAGTTAAATCTCTGTTCAGCATTACATGGTGGGAAAAAGTAGAAAAGTTAGTGGTAAAGAGAAATATTTGGTGTAGATTACCCTACATCTCACTGGCATTGTCTTAACATAGTCCAGCACTCTTACGCTATCTTTCTAGGGCAGAGCCCATCTTAGCAAGGATCCAGGAAGACCGCACTGTGATTGTGTCTCCCATGTTTGGCAAAATTCATTTTGACACCTTGGAAGTGGAACATTATCCCTTAGCCTCTATTGGATTTGACTGGGCCCTCTGGTGCCTCTACAATCCTGTGCCAAAAAGCTGGTTTAAATTGAAGGATGATACTGCACCAGTGAAGTAAGTCTGGAGAACTTGCAACTATCATTTATAGTCCCAGAGACTTTAATTTTTTTTCAGCTTGGAAACAAGTAAGGCTATTTCTAAGATGTAAGGATCAGCTAGGACTTTTCTTCTGAATCAGATAGAAGTTTCTGAGTTTATACAATTTTTTGGCAATCTGTATAACAAAGCAAAAATATCATAGGATACAAAGAGCCATCAAAGACTGATTAGGGCTCAGCTCCCTGTCTCTGGGGAAAACTGACCCTAAATTGATGTATTCCTCTTTAAAAGTCTTGATGAAGACTTTTAAACTGAGAGGACATCTTTAGCACAAATAGTCGTTTGCTCTTGCCCTCCTTCATCCCTGTTTCCCTGTTATTTTGCTTTTTATCAATGAACAGTCATGTCCTGGCCCTTGCACATGGCTCTGTCCCAGTGGAAAAAAAAGCAAAACAAACTCCTGGAACAAATAAGTAGAGACAAAAGTTCCTATATTAGCCATGTCAAAAACAAAAACAAACAAAAAAACATGTCTCATTCTGCATTCTGAGTCCGCTGCATCTCCATAGTGACTTGTGAGGCATAGTTTAAAAATGCCAGCATGGCATTATTGTGTCTATTTTTCTTTCTTCTTCTCCTCCTTCTTCTCCTCCTCATCCTTCTCCTCCTCTTTTCCTCCTCTTTTTTCTTCTCTTCTTCCTTCTTTTCCTCTTCCTCCTCCTCTTTTTCTTTTTTCTTCCTTCTCTTCTTCTCCTTCTACATGCAGACCCCACCTCTACTTGCATCTTCATATCAATGCTCTGTCAGTTCCCATTTCCTGCTGTGTGTTTCCACAGGAGTCCTTCCATCATGGGCAGCTTTGCTGCAGACAGACTGTTCTTGAAAGAGATTGGATCCCTTGATAAAGGAATGCAAGTCTATGGAGGAGAAAATGTGGAACTAGGCTTGAGGGTAAATTTTTGGTCTTTTTCTTGTGCAAGCCATGAGTAGAAACAGTTATAGAATAATTGTGTACCATTGGATCTCTTTTGCTTAAGGATAAGAAATGCTCAAATTGTCAGGTGGCTGAGAAGAGCTTTGGGAAGGAGTAGGAGACAGAATTCTTTGGGTGGGGTTTTCATGGAATATAATATTCTAATTATCACTGGATGCTGGGGAATGACTGAAGTGAAACTCAACAGGTGGTTACCATTTTGGTCCTCTACCTCTCTCTCACCAAGAAAAGTGTAGATTCTATAAGATATACTGAGAATTTTCCAAAAAGACCTGAGATTTGCCACCAATTAAGCCTGGAAGACCCAAAGTAGTGACATTTGACCATGCTGAAGCCTACTTAGAGAGAAAAGGTTGAAGTAAAGAGGACCCAGGAAGACAAAGGAAGAACAGTTATATTTTAATATATAATGGTTGACCTGTGTCTTATTAGTCTAGTAGTAAACATATTTTATTGATGTCTAACATAGTATGGAAAATTCCCAGGGATGGGAGTCAAGGGGTCAGATTTTTAGTGCTTGATTCCTACACCAACTAGCTGTACAACAATGACAACATTTTCTTACTAAAGGGTGGTTTCCTTTCTCCCATCTAGATGTACATCTAGTATATAGTCAGTTCAAGAGCACACAGTGAAGTGCTTTTTATGAAGTACAAACTTGGGGCGTGAATACAGTTTGGATAAAGCACAACTTTCAATTGCTCAGGTGTCCTGCACAGTTTTAAGGCATTGAGAATTCCTCTAGTATATCTTTTTTGTTAGTTCCATTTTCACAGGTGTCTTTTCTAAATCACAACCCTTGGGATTTTGGTTCTTGCTAATCCACAGTGCTTCCACATTCCAATTTACATCTAAACTATTGTTTTTAATATGCCATAGGAAAAAAGTTTGTTACAAAAATCATTATATATCTTTCCTTTGCCGTTTTGTTGCCTCTTGCTAGTTTTATTCTTAAATACCTCTTGAATAATGTTGCTGAGTTTGGTCTGTTGCCAAGCTTTCTTTATACTGATTATTCTTCAACTGTATCATCCATTAAAGGAGAAACATACATACAATGTATTATAATCTTTCACCATACTTATAATCTTCTACTGTGCAATGTATAAGGAAACCGAATTATTCTAGTGAACCATAATGAAATTTTGCATGTTTTGCCATTTTCTTCTTGTGGGTTGAAAATTTTCTCCAATTTGATTTTGTGTAAAACAGAACTTGGAATCAAGAACCTAAGATGCCTTTTTTCCCCTTCGAGCACAAGTAACCTTCTTATTGTATAACTTGTATTCAGTAATCTACTTGAAGATGTCCATTGACAGAGAACTCAATAATCCTTGCATAGAGCCCTAAATTCTACTTTTGAGCCACTCAAAGTTTTTACTTAAGTTGAATTGAAATATATATTTCTGTAACTTCCAACTAGTCTTCCCTCCAGGACCAAGCTAAACAAGCCTAATCCCTTTTCCATATAACAATTCCTCAAACAGTTGAGTGAAATACAGCTATTATGTGTGCCCTACTCTTATTCCAGTCTTCTTTCAAGGCCATAAATTTTCAATTAAATTTAACTGAAAAATTTATTAAGCACCAACTATATGCAAAGGAATGTGCTAGATCATAGTAAAAAAAAACTTCATTCAATGACTTTATATTCTAGATCAATTAACTACAAACATTCATTAGTTGCCTATCATGTGTCAGGGACTATGCTGGGTACAGAGAATACAAAGACAAAGATGAAACAATGCTTGCCTTAAAGAAGTATACATTTCAGGGCAGCTAAGTGGCACAATGGATAGAGCACTGGCCCTGGAGTCAGGAAGACCTGAGTTCAAATTTGGCCTCAGATACTTACTAGCTGTGTGACCCTGGGCAAATCATTTAACCCTGATTGCTTTACCAAAAAAAAAAAAAGTATACATTTCAAATATAGAGATAAAGACATATGCACATATAAGCATATACAACATATATTATATGCATAATATAGATGAATTGTTTATGAATATGTAATATAAATACACGTAATATAAATAAAAACATGGGGGAAAGACTAAGTAGCTAAGGTGATCAGAAAACGCTTCATACATGGTGTGGTCTTTGAGCTGAACTTTGAAAGGCACTAGGAATTCAAAAAGGTAGACCTGAGTAGGAGTTTCAGACCTGGGGGACCAGTCCAAGTAAAAGTATGGAGATGAGAGATGGAATATTGCATATGAGGAACCCCAGGAAGGCCAATTTGCATTGATTAAGGAGTGTATTAAGGGGAATAATGCAAAGTAAGACTGGAAAGGCAGGTTAGAGCCAAATTGTGAAGGACCTTAAATGCCAAACAGAAATTTCTATTTTATCCTAAAGGTAATAGGAAAGTTACCAGAATTGACTGAGCAGGGAAGTGTTATTGACAGCACATTGCTTCAGGAATATCATTTGGCAGGTTAAAGAAGAGAAAGACTTTAGGTAGGAAAAATACTTAGGAGGCTATCGAAATAATAGTCCAGGCAAGAGTTGATGAGGGCCTAAATTAGAATGGTGGCCATGAAAGTAGAGAGAAGGGGACAGATGTGAGATTTGTCATGGAAGTAGAATCTATAAAACTTCCCAACCAACTGGATATGTTGAGTAAGAGAAAGTGAGTAGTCAAGGATGACTATGAGGATCTGAATGACTACATTGATGATGGTACCCACAACAGAAAGAAGAAAGTTCAGAAAAGGGGTGGGTATCTGGGGAAGAAAATGACTTCTATTGGAACATGTTGAATTTGAGATGTGTATGGAGCATTTGTTTGAAATGTCCAATGATGAAGGACTTGGGTTTTGGAGAAAGATTAGGGCTTTGGATATATAAATCTGTAAGTTATTTGCATAGTTATATTAATCATGCCTGGGAGTTGAGAGAGTTATGAAGTGAGAGAGTATAGAAAAAGAAGAAAAGGGGAAACAGAACAGAACCTTGGGGGACACCCAGAGTTAGGCATCATGCTATGGATAATAATAATTCTAATGATAACAATAATAATAATAGCTAACATAGCATTTTAAGGTTTACAAAGTACTGTGTTCCATTTACTCCTATTTCATAGATGGAAAAAACTGAGGCCAAAAGAGGTTGAGGAAGACATGTCCAGGGTCACACACCTAGGAAGTGTCTGAGGCAATATTTAAGCTCAGGTCTTCATGATTCCTGGTCTGGCACTCTATCTACTCCATCCCCTAGATGCCTGAACAAGCAAAAGAAACAGGAATAGTCAAATGGATAGGAGAAGAACCAAGAAACAATGGTATCATGCACAAAGTGAAATGAGCAGAACCGAGAGAACATTGTTCACATTAATAACAATATTATACTATGAAGAATTGTGAATGACTTGACTTTTCTCAGCAATGCAATGATCCAAGACAGTCCTGAAGGACTCATGATGCTATCTGCCTCTAGAGAAAGAACTGATGTTGCCTGGATACCGATTGAAGCATACTATCTTCCTTCCTTCATTTTTTCTTTCCTTCCTTCTTTCTTTCTTCAAGTCTTCTTGCACAAAATGACTTACATGGAATGTTTTACATGATCGCACACATATAACCTATACCAGATTGCTTGCCATCTCAGGGAGGAGAGAGGGGAGAGGGAAGGATAGAATTTGGAACTCAAACTTAAAAGAAATGCTAAAATTGTTTTTACATGTAATTGGGGGAAAATAAAATATTATTTAAAAAAAGAATGGTATCATGAAAACACAGTAGGAAGAGAGACTATGGAGAAGTAGATGATTGTCAACAGTGTCAGATGCTGCAGAGGATGAAGATAAGACCGTGAAATTTGACAATTAAGAGATCATTGGTAACTCTGAAGAGAATAGTTTCAGTTGTAACTTGTGCATAGAAAAATAAAATGTAAAGAAAACTGAGAGAGAGAGAGAATTAAATATTAGACATTTGCATCAGTTTTGTGAGTCATTTCTTTCAATGAATCCTTATATAACATGGTTTTGAGTTCCCACACTATCCTGGTTTGCCCTTCTCTGGATACATACCAGCTTTTCAATTTCTTTTCTAAAATATTTCACCCAGAGCTGGTCATAATACTTATGAAGTGGCCTTAAAGCACAGTAGAGCTCTCACATCTTTCACTCTGGACTCTACTATTATAGTGATGCAAAATTATACTGAGTTTTGGGTTGCCACATTATGCTAGGTATATACTAAGCAGGAAGGTGGTGCAGTGGATAGCACAGTGGGCCTGGAGTTAAGAAGATCTGAGTTCAGGTCCAGCTTCAGACACTTACTAGCTGCGTGACTCTGGGCAAATCACTTAACTTCTGTTTGCCTCAGCTTCCTCATCTGTAAAATGGGGATAATAATAGCACTTACCTCCCAGGGTTGTTCTGAGGCTCAAATGAGAATATAATTTTAAAGTGCTTAGTACAGTGCCTGACACATAGTAAATGCCATATAAATGTTTGTTTTATTGCACTACTGATTCACATTAATTTCATAGTTCACTAGGTAACTCTGGGTTTTTTTTTTCCCTTCACATTGCCATGTTTCATTTATTCAGTACTTGAACTATTGATCTTTGAAACCAAGTGAGGGACTTTATCTTGATCTTATTACAGGTGACAGAAACTTCTTTCTACTTCCAACTTTGGCTTTTTTCACGATGAAATCATCTTAGTGGGAACCATCTGAGATAGAAGATCTAAGAAATCACCAATTTTTCATATTCTAATTAAAACATTGGGGCTGATATATTATAAAAATGTCTTCCATTCACAACCTCTGCCTGGATGGGTAAAAATCTCTTTCCCTACATTCTTTTCCCCATTTGCTTCCTCAGAGACCATAGAGCAACCTGAAACTCAATGGGAATCCTTATTATAATATCCCTGTTAAGTAGTCACCCAGCCTTTTCTTGGAAACCTTTGTTAAAGGAGAACTCGTTATGTCCAAAGCAATCCATTCCAATGTTTCATAGCTCTAACGGTGAGGATGGTTTTCCTTTTATCAAGTTTTTTTAAATTTCTCTTCATCCTCTGTGCATTGCTCATAGTTCACCCCTCTAAAGCCAAGCAGAGTGAGTCCCTCTCATACTACAACAGCCCTTCAAATACTTCAACATGACATGTTCCCTCAATGTCTGCCTACATATTCCTTGTTTTTTCAAACATTCTTTGCCCAGCACAGTCTTAAAGCTCCTTATTTTTCATAACGGCCATTCCTCTAGATGTACTATGGTTTGTAAATTTCCTTCCTAAAATCTAGCATTCAGAACTACATAAAATCATCTAGATTTGAGCTTGCTGGGGGATTATTAACTCTCTTGTTCTGTATACTCTATGTCTCTTAATATAGGTTTTTTTTGGCTGTCATTGTATTTATTGATATAATTAGCTGGTCCCCATCTTATACTTGTGAAGCTGATTTTTTTAATCAAAGTGGAGGAATTTATTGTTATCTTTTTAAAATGTAATCTTATTCAATTTAGCTCATTGCTTAAGTCCAATGAAATGTTTTTGATCTTGACTTTGTCAGTCAGTATATTCACTATTATGCTAAGCTTTGAATCATCTGCAGATCAGAAAGGCATGTCATCTATATGTGCAAAACACTTTGTAAACCTTATGGTGTTATAAGTTGTTCATTAATTATTATTGCTTATTAAAGTCATTGATCAAAATGACATGGCAAAGGACAGATTCCTGAGAGATTCACCTCAGTCTCTCAACTGAGAATCCTGCTTCATATTTTATAGAAAAACACTGAGGCCATTTTCAGAGAGTTTCTTCCTGTCCCCTCCTTTTAGAGATAGCTAGGTTAAAGCACTGAGACTGAAACCAGGAAGATCTGAGCTCAAATCCAGCCTCAGCCACCTACTAGTTGTGTGACTTGGGACAAGTCATTTGACCTTTGTCTGCCCTAGTTTCTTTGGCTATAAAACAGGGAAAATAATAGCGTCTATCTCCCAGGGTTGTTATGAATATCAAATGAGATAATATTTGTAAAGTGTTTAGCATGGTACTTGGCCCATAGTAGGCTCTTAATAAATGTTTATTTCCTTCCTCCTCCTCTTACATCACTCAAGTACTCTTCTATCTCTTTCTTGATCCCTGTCTCATATGAAGAAGTGGCCCTTCTCCTTGCCAAGCCTAACCCCTCTGCATGGACAAGTGATTCCATCTTCTCCAGCAGATTGCCCTCCCTATCATTCCTACTCTCTCACTAATCTTTGATCTCATCCTATCTATGTACTACTTTCCTACTACCTACAAACTCCATCATCCTCAAAAAAAAAACCCAGCCCTTAATTGTTTTCCTTCTATTCCTGCTATCTAACCTTTTTGTGTTTAAACTCCTTGAGAAGGCCATCTATAATGGATGCCTCTACTTTCTTTCCTTTCACTCTCTTATTTCTCTGCAGTCTGCTTTCTGACCTCATCATTCAACTGAAATGGCTTTCTTCATAGTTATGAGCCTGGCACATAGTAGGTGCTTATGGACTGACTCCATGATTGATAGCCATCCTTCCAAGCTGACATTGACTCATTAATAACTGCTTTTGAGGACCAGTCATTCAACCACTTCTCAAAATCCACCTTACTGAACTGCCATATAGCTCCCACCTCTCTACCTTGTTCCCAAGATGGCAGGAGAGAGACTTTCTCAAAAGCTTGTGCTAAAATTTTAAGTAAGCTATGTCTCCATAATTCCCTTGATCTACCCTTAATCTACTAGGTTACCCTAGTAAACCTGCCAAAAAAGGAATTGAGGTAAGGCAGTTCAGCAGACTTTTGCGATGGATATCAGAGCAAGATGGAGGAATTCATGTTGTTTTTTTTTTAAATGGTACTGAAGTGAGTGTTAAAGATGATTCATTATGAGACAAATTTGTGTGTGTGTGTGTGTGTGTGTGTGTGTGTGTGTGTTTTCTTTAATGCAGGTGTGACAGTGTGGAGGAAAGATTGAGATCCTTCCTGTTCCCGGATTGTTCACCTGAAGAGAGCCTTCAAACCCTATGCTTGGAATCTAGGGCAATTCATGAGACGCAATGCTCTTCGTGTGGCTGAAGTCTGGTTGGATAATTATAAATCCATGGTTTACTATTACTGGAATCTGCCTGTGGAGGTTTGTCACAAACTGCAAGGTAGAAAAGGAAAAGAGAGGGGTGGGTAATAGAAGGGAAAAGATAAAAATGTAGCAACTCAGTCCCAGGTCAAACATAGTTTCCCACAAATCTCCAAACCTGCAACCCTGATTAACAACACCAATGGGGGAAGTCAGGGATTCTTTGCTCTGAGCAAAATTCTTTGCTGTCAGCTCTGAGCAGGCATGACACATAGAGAAACTCAAATGACAATGGGCATTGTTCATCCACACCTTAATATAGCCTGTATCCCTAAAATCACATACCTTGAAAGGTACAACAAAAATAAAACAAAACAGTTTAGCTATAAAAAACAACAGCAATGAAAAACTAAATTTAGGTTTGATGCAAGCCAGATACAAAAAGGAAACACGTTCTACATTCAGACTTATATAGGACCCATCCACAATATCAACCTGGTGTCAACACGTGGGCTTGAAACTGTTATCACCAGGGATGATTCTGGCTTAACCATGGGTGTCATATTCAGTGATGATAGACTTTTGGAGTAATCTTGAACTGGAGAAGATGGCAGGGAGTGTAGATAGGGAGCTAGAAACCTGACTAAGTAGCTGGGAAACTGTAGGCAGTAGTGTGTATATGTGTGTGTATATGTATGTGTGTGTGTGTGTGTGTGTATGTGTGTGTGTGTAATGGTGGTGGTGATGGTGATAAAATGCTCAGAAAGAATTAGGCTTCACTTCAGATTTAAAATCATCAGATGATATTCTTTTTCTTACTAACCGAAAGTTAAATATATAATAATTAACACATGTTGTTTGCAATTTATGGCTTTATAATCAGCTGAAGGTCTATGGTCTTTCATGAAAGGTGGGGACAGCATGGAATAACCTCTGACAAAGGACCATGGTGCTGGTTGTTCAGGCAGTTGTTCAGATTGGGGGGCCCAGAGCACTACTACTCACTCCTCTTAGGAAAACCAAAGGCTATGAAGGTTACCCACAGGACACTGCACTTATCCATTTGTCATGGAGCAGTTGTCCACTTGTCATGTGAACTGTCTTAGGCTGGAGACAAGGGAGTTACAGATTTCGAGATTTGATGTTCTGAAAGAAAAGATGACTCCTTTGCAGAACAATGGAATAGACTATGGAGACGTGTCTTCCAGAAAGAAACTCAGGAAGAAACTGAATTGTTGAAGTTTTGACTGGTACCTCAAAAATGTTTATCCATCTCTGAAGCCAATTCGAAACATTGTCAGTTATGGAATAGTAAGTACCATATTTATGGATGCTCTGAGACACATTAAACAACCTCAGTTCTCCCTCCAAGGGGCCTATATCAGTTAGTTCAGTGTTTCTGAAATTCCTTATGGTCAGCATTTCTATTTGCTATTCAATACTACTCATCTGGTTTCTGTTCCAGGATTTCCCAGATTTGAGACAGGTAAATGGTGAAATGGACTTGGAGACAGGGTGAACTGAGTTTAAATTTTGTCTAAGTATTAAAACCCTGAGCAAGTCATTCACCTGTCTCAGGCTCTGTTTCTTCATCTGCAAAATAGGAAAAATAATAGTAGGAACCTCAAAGGGTTGTTGTGAGCATGAAATGAGGTTAGCATAGGTGAAGTGTTTTGCCAGCCTTTAAAGTTCTATGTAAATCATTGTTTCCCCTTTAATTTTGTATGCTTCTTGATCCACAGTCATTGTTTTCTTCCCTTTATAAGGTAGCTAGACCCCTTCATTTTCCCTCGTGTTTCCCAACCCACTACCAGATTTTCAGAACCAGCATTATTCTCAGCTAACTTAAGAAAGCGGCTTCACGCGTATACACTTTCCCAGAAGCTACTTTAAGGGTCCTTTAGGAGGAAAGTAGGCATCTCCAGATGATTACAGCTGTCTTGCCCTCTGGAATACTTGTCTCATTCCCAATGCTTAGGAAATAATTGGCAAGCACCAAATCTTTTCTTCCTTTCAGCTGAAGTATGGTGTCAGTACTGAATATAGAGTCTAATGAACAACTTTGCTGTTTACCAGGCTGTGTGATATTAAGGCAAGTCACTTAACTTCCCCAGGCCTCTGTAAAATGAAGCTATAGCACAAGATAATCAAGTCCCTACCAGAGCTAAATCTATCATCCTTTAAGATGAGAATGCATATTAACAATAAGAAGCCAAATCCTGGCTGGGTATGGATGATGAGCCTACTTTCTCGGTCTCCCTTTCCCAGGAGTACTGTGTGTGTTTGCTCTTCCAGATGAAAAATGCTGTGGATGAGATGATCTGCATTGATCAGGGACCTGTCTCAGGAAAAACTCCAATCATGCATACTTGCCATGGATATGAATCACAGGTATGGTCCCAAAGCAGACATTTCCACCCTGCCACATCCCACCCCTACTATCCAAAATAAACCTTATAATGTCTTGGCCTTTTCTAACTTTTGTTAGGTTTTGGATTCAAGACCTGATGGAGAACTAGGGGAAGCTGGGCAGGGGGGAAAGAGGGAAATGTGTTAGAGTTTAAGCCAATACCAGAACTTGAAACAAATCTCTTCCTTACTTTTGCTCTGAACCTGGCCATTAAAGGTTCTCTTTTTAATTGAGTGTAAAGAGTTGAGAAACTTAGGGTGAGGGATAGGATTATATTGGAGAGAGATTGGGGATTCAGAGAGTAATATTGAGACAAGCTCAAGAAGACACACAGACTAACTTCTCAGCCAGATCTCTTCCACTCACCCAGTTTTCTCCAAATTGAAATTTGTAGAACATTTATTAAGGTCCTGCTAATGTCACCTCCCTCCACCACCAATAAACTTGTATTTATTTTATAGGATTGTGTAACACAATGGCTAGACAGTGGAACTAAACATATAATAGAAAGAAGCCTAGGAAAACTTGGATTCAAGTCTTGTCTCAGATATAAGTTGGCTGTGTGACCCTGGGCAGGTCCCCTTTCTGTGATTTAGGCAATTCTTTAAGGCTCTAAATGCATATTTGCATTGGTATAGGGAGTTTCTTTAGAACAATGAAATCACAGGTCCTATGCCATTTTCCCCTTGTAATAGATATGGGATATGTTTCATTAATACAGCTGCCATCTATTCTCAAAGAGGACCAAAATAATGTCACTATGTTGGGGTCAAGATATAGTGTGTCTGACTGTGGCTGATCAGACCAATAGGAGCTCAGAAAGCTTTACCACAGGTCAGGCACAAACAGTCCCTGTGAACACGCATTGACATAGGGAACTCCTGGAAGAAGAAACTTCTCTTACTGAAGCAAGCCAGTATGTTCTCTTTAACTTAATCTTATAGAGTTGCCCAAAGCAACAAAAGGTTAAATGATTCTCCCATGGTCCCTCAGCCAGTAGGAGTCAAAGGCAGGACTTGAACATGATTCTTCCTGGCTCCAAGGCTAGAGCAGCAATGCCTCTGTATATTAGTTATATCTTTTACGTACTCTATATGTTCCACACACCCTTTCCACCCCCACAAATGTAAGTTCCTTGAAGACAGTTATTGATTCATTTTTGCCTTTAGTATCTTCATTACCTAGGATGTGCTTGACACATAGTAGGTCCTTGATAAATGTTGGTTGACTGATTGAATGTTTGATAGAAAGCACCATGGTAGAGACAAATGAGAGCTAGGCAAAGGGAGGAGGAAGAATTGGCATTCATGTTAGGCCTTGCAGGAGGGAAAGACTTCATGAAATGAAAATGGGCGAATCTATTCCAATGAGGCAGCACAGAGTGAGCAAAGGCGTGGAGATGAAAGGAGAAGAGTGAGAACTTGAGACGTACTGTCTACCAAATTAACTGTGATCTTGTAATCACCACATCAGATAATCATTTCTCAGTCATCATCTTTCTTGTCTCCTCTGGAGCTTTTGATGTGATGTCCTCCCTGGGGTTTTTTGGATGATGCTTTCTTGATTCGTCTCCTGCTATCTCAGTCCCTTTTGTTGGCTCATCAGCTAGAGTAGACCACCTAACTGTAGGTGTCCCTCAAGATTCTATACTAGATCCCCCTTTCTCTTCTCTTCTCTTCTCTTCTTTCTCTCACTTGGTGACCTCCTTAGCTCCCATGAATCTAATTACTATCTCTATGCAGATGACTCTTGTCTTTTTTGTTGTTGTTGTTGTTTTCTGTTTTTTAGGCAATTGGGGTTAATGACTTGCCTAGGGTCACACAGCTATTAAGTGTCAAGTGTTTGGTCTGAGGTCGGATTTGAACTCAGGTCCTCCTGACTTCAGGGCCAGTGCTCTATCCACTGCACCACCTAGCTGCCCCCCAGATGATTCTTGATTCTATGTACTTAGCCCAAGTTTCTTTCCTGATCTCTCATCCTGCACCACCAGCTTCCTATTAGACATTTCAAAATTGCATGTCCTTAGTCATTTCAGATTCAACATGTCCAAAACAAAACCCATTGTCTATCTCCCCATAACCACACCCCTCTTCCTAATCTCTCTCTTTCTGTGAAGGTCAACTCCATCCTTCTAGGACCCAGGTTTACAACTCAGAGCATCTTTGGTTCCTTACTCTATTTTACTGAACATATCCAATCAATTAAGAATAAATAAATGAAAAGGCATTTTAAGGACTTAATATGTGCCAAGCATTGTGATAAGTGCTAGGGGTACAAATTAAAAAGCAAGATGGTCCTTGCCCTTGAGAACCTTACATCCAGTGAGGGAGAGAACACATACAGGGGAGTGGTCACCAGGAATAGTGAAGTCATAAGGATGGCGTGTAGCCATAAGACATTTGATTGCTGCTGAACCTTTATAGAAATAATGGTAGTCTTTTTTCCCTTTTAAAAATATTTTATTTTTCCCTTAAACATTAAAATTTTTTTAAACTTTTTTTGTTTTGAGTTCCAAATTCTATCCCTCCTTCCCTTCCCTCCTGTCTCCCTGAGATGGTGTGCAATCTGATATAGGTTATAACATATGCAATCATATAAAACAAGAAATAATGGTGGTCTTGAAGAAGTGTTTTCAATTCTACTTTTCTACAACATTTCTCATCCATTGCCTTCCTCTAATCAGTCATCACGCCAATTCAAGCCCTTAGCACCTCTTGCCTGGATTATTACCATCACCCCCTAATTTTTCTCCCTGCCTCAAGTCTCTCTCTTCTTCAATCCATCTGCCACACAGTTGCCAGTGATTTTACTAAAGCACAAGTTTGACACATAAACAATAAAACCCACAGGTTCCCTGTTACCTCTGGGATAAAATAGAAAAATAAATATAAATCCCTCTGTTATCACTTAAAGTCCAGGAGATTTTTCTTTGAATAGAGGAGTGATATGATCATAGCAGTGTGTTACAAATATCATTCAGGGAGTGGTATGGAGGATGGAGTGGAGAGAGTATAAACTACTGGTAGGAATAACAGCTAAGAGTCTTATCTAGATAAGAAACAAGGACCTGAAGTAGGGAGATGCAGGGCTAATGGAAAAGAGGGGCAAGTACTCTAATCAAGACAATATCCCAGACATCTAGGATGAAAAATGCTATCTACTGACACTTGTAACTCTTGAGAACTGTATTGTTATTACACCATATTAAAGAAGTATACATAAAGGGGGTGGATATAAGTTGACTTTGATGTAGTGATAAAAAAAAGTCTAATCAAGTAAGTTAAATGGATCCAAGTAAGTGGATTAATCTGTTCTAAGAAAATGTACTGAGAAAGGAGGAGGCAGACAAGGGTAAATTAAGTTACACGAAAAGACACAAAAATCTATTACAGCAGAGGGAAAGAAGGGAGGGAGATGAGCATTATTTGAACCTCACTCTCATCAGATTTGGCTCAAGAAGGGAATAACATAATCAGTTAGGTATAGAAATCTAACTTGCCTTATAGGCCATCATGGGGAGGGTAGTGGGGAGGAAGGGGGAGAAAAATTTTAAACTCAACAGCATATGGAAGTGATTGTTGATAAATCAAAAAAAATTAATAAAAAAAATGCTATCTACTTTCAGAGAGAGAACTGTTGAACTCTGAGTGCAGATAGAAGTGTACTTTTTTCACTTTTTTTTGTTTTTTCTTGCTTTTTTTTTGCAACACGGCTGATATGCAAATATATTTTACATCACTTCACCTGTATAATTGATATTATATTGCTTGCCTTTTCAAGGGGCAGGGGCATGGAGGGAGGGAAGGAGAGAATTTGGAACTCAAGATTCTAAAAAAAAATGTATGTTAAAAGTAAGTAAGTTAATTAAAGGAGAAAAAGCAAAGAGGGGCAAGATAAAGGTATTTCAGAGGTAGAAATGACAGGACTTGAGTGTCTATGGGTTAGAAGAGGATAATCTTGGGTGTCATTATAAGAAATAGAGCAGGTTAGGGAGGACAGTTTTAAGTGGGGAAGACAAGTTTGGTTTTACTTAAGTGCCTTCCCTCTTTTAATTATTTCCTATTTATCCTAGATAGAGTTTATATGTACATATCTGCTTGCTTATTTTCTCCCCCATTAGATTGTAAGCTCCTTAAGGACAAGGGCTGTCTTTTGCCTCTTTTTGTTTGTTTGTAGCACAAACCCTGTTTATATCCCTAGTGCTTGGCACATTTTAGGCTCAGATGTTTATTGATTGATTATTTAATCAATATTTAATAATTTGATATTTTTAATAATTTAATTAATTATTGATTGTGGAAAATATTCACCAGGCAATTGGAAATCCAGATAAGGTTGAGAATAGAGATACAAACTTCCACATTATCTACATAGAGATGATGAATAAAGATCATTGGAACAGATGAGACCATCAAAGAAGACACTTTAGAGAAAAGAGAGCTTAGGGCAAAATGTTAAAGAATGCTACCAAGACTTCTTTTTTCCAGGCTGAACATTCTCAGTATTTATCTGATTGTCATGTAGCAGGATCTCAAGGCCTTCCACCATTCTCTAGACACTCTTCAGATGATTAATGTCCCTCCTAAAATGGGGTATTCAGAAGTAAACATGCCTTATTGGAAGACGCCTGACCAGAGAAAAATACAGGGGAATGATTTACCTCTCTCATTTTGGACACTTCTCCTCTTAATTCAGTCTAAGATTCTATTGCCTTTTTGGACCCCAAGCTCGATGTGAGACTTTTGGTTCATATTGAGCTTGTTGTCCACTAAACTCTCCAAGTCTTTTTCAAATGAACTGTCTAGTCAGATTTCTCCCACTTCTCCCACTTCAAAGCCAAGTGCAAGTGCAAATTCTGTTAAATTCCATCTTTTTAGATTTAACCCAATTTTATAGCCTGTCAAGATGTTTGGATCCTGACTATCCTCCAAAGTGGTATTTCTCCCTCTTAATTTGTTTCATCCACACATTTGATAAGCATGTTAAGTACAACTTTATTCAAGTCATTGATAAGGATGATAAACATCCCAGGGTCAGGCAGAAATTCTAAGAACACTCCACCAGAGATTTCTTTGCAATATGACATCAACTCATTAATAAGTACTCCTTTGTTATGGTCAAAGAAGAAAGAGTGAGAAAAGGAGCCCAAATACAAGGATGCCTGGACGATGGGACAGGAACTAGAAAATACGTGGAGAGATTAATCTCAGAGGCAAGTAGGAGGTATCCTTATCAATCCTGTTTGAAATGTTTGAAATCATATACAAGGAATTCACATTCAGGGTGCCCAGGTTTTTGTTTTAGCATAGTTACCATAGTACAGTGGATAGAGTGCTGGACCTGGAGTCAAGAAGATCAGAGTTCATAATCTAGCCTCGGAGACTTACTAGCTGTGTGACCCTGGGCAAGTCACTTAACCCTGTTTGCCTAGATTTCCCCAGTTGTACAAGAGGGATAATAAGATAGAATTTACCTTCCAGGGTTGTTGTGAGGATCAAATGAGGTAATTGTAAAACATTTAGGGCAGTATCTGGCACATAGTAGGCACTGTATAAATGCTACTGATTATTATTATTCATTTATAGTTGTTTGCATCATGTCTCCTCCATTAGATTGTGAGATCCTTGATGGCAATGACTACCTTTTGTCTTTGTACCCCATTGCTTAGACATTGTGCCTGGCAAATAGTAAGTGCTTAAAAATGCTTATTGACTTATTGACTGACTATGTGCCCTTCCTGCCATGTTACTGCTGAACCTCAGGCAGTGAAGAAAGTGATGTGGAATCCCTTTCATAGAGATTCTCTTCTCAATGACTGATAGCTGGAATTTAGTGGAGCAGGAGTGAACAAGGGGAGACCCCTGCTTCCCAGAAATAAGATAAGCAAACACAGCGATTCCCCCATGCCCAGAGAGCAATCTGTGGGCTTTGCCTGAGTCAGGTGTTTCCCATCAATGACTCTGTATCCCTCACGGGCTACTTTGTTCCTTTCTAGGTTGTGTTCTACTTTCTGACTGGAGAGCTGTACCTGGGACTGTTATATGATGATTGGTTCTCCAAATATCAGTGCCTTGTGGATCCTGGCCAAGGGCTTGAGCCAGAATTAGCAATGTGCCCTGATGCGACATATAAAGGAATGCATACACTTTGGGATTTTAAACAGGCAAGTTAATGGGTATTTTAGATTCTTGACTTGAGTGTCAGGCACTGTGCCTCTGACTCTTTTTATAAATATTATGTCATTTGGGTCTCACACCAACCCTGGGAGGTAGGTACTATTATTATCCCCATTTTACAGTTGAGAAACTGAGGCAAAGAGAGATTATGTGACTTGCCCAGGATCACACAAGTATCTGAGGCTGGATTTGAACTCAGGTCTTCTTGACTCCATGCCTGGTGCTATATTCACTGCAATACCTAGGTACCCCCAGAAAATATACTGGACATGATGGTGCAGGACCTTAGTGGCAACTGCTGGTACAGTGTATAGAGTGCTGGACCTGGAGTCAGGAAGAGCTGAGTTCAAATCTGGCTTCAGACACTTGGTAGTTGTGTGACCTGGGCAAGTCACTTAACTGCTATTAGTCTGTTTCCTCAGCTGTAAAATGAGAATAATAATAGCATCTGCCTCCCAGGATTGTTGTGAGGATCAAATGACATAATATTTATAAAAAGAGCTTAATATAGTACCTAGCCCATAGTAGGCACTATATAAATGCTTATTGCTTCTCCCCACACTCCCAGCCTTCCTTCAGAGCAGGCTGAGGCTAGTAAATCATTTGAGCTCAGGAGTTCTGAACTACAGTAAGGCTGATGTGGATAGATAGGGTGTCTGCACCGTCCAGCACCAGTATGGGGATCTTCCAGGAACTGAAGGCTACTCCCCTATCTAAGGAGGATGGACTAATTTCCTCTAAGCAGGTCAGGGCAATTTACAAATCTCCATTGTCCTTAGTTATTGGTCAGTTTCAAGGAGCACCTACTAACTATGCTGCTTCCTCCCCACACACCAAAAAAATATAGGAAGTGTAAGTTGCCCCATAAGATATGGGATAGATTGCCCATTGCCTAGTGGCATTCCTTGTACCAGGGATCAGTGTCCAGCAGGGTGTTAGCGCTGTTCAGGCACATGGAAATCAGTTCACTTTCACCAGATGACTTAGTGGATATAAAAGAATGAGAGATAGATGGCTTTGATTCTGGAAGAATCAAGGACAATCAATTACTTACCTGGTATTTATGAACCAGTAGGGCCTCACACATGTAAAGTCAGTTTTTCCCGTTCCTGCTTCCACACTTTCAATTAACCACATCAGTTAATCAATCAAAAAGCATTCATTAAGTTCCAACCATGTGGCATACACTGTGCTAAGTTCCATGGATGCAAAGCCAAAAATGAAACAGTCTCTGCCCTCAAGGAGCTTACATTCTACTGGAGGAAACAGACATATGTGGCTAATTCTGAGCAATCTGGTTCACATTTTTTTTAATCCCACTGTAATACAGGAGCTTTTGGGCCCTGGCCGCTAACAGGTTCACTCTTGATCTGGGCAGCTAGAAGGACATCAGTGGCAACATAATGAAGGATTATTTTAATTTATTCTTTTCAATAGGGTTACCAATTTTGGGAGCACCAACTTCTACAACATCTCCTAATTACTCTTCTCACAGGGGCCGGTGAGAGTAAGAGTAGGAGCTCCAACTCCTACAATATTCCCCTAAGTCTCAATGGGGGCCAGTCAAGACAAGCACAGCATTCACATTCCCTCCGAGCCTTGATGGTGGCAGGTCAAGGCATGCACAGCTTTTAGCTGGCACATTCCATAAATCCCCTCAAATCCACACTTACTGGCCAGTGCTCACTTGATTTAAAGAGAAGCACACAAAGAAGGCATTTTTTTTTTTGGCTAGGCAATGGGGTTAAGTGACTTGCCCAGGGGTCACACAGCTAGCAAGTGTCAAGTGTCTGAGGTCAGATTTGACCTCAGGTCCTCTTGACCCCAGGGCCGGTGCTCTATCCACTGTGTCATCCAGCTGCCCCATAAAGAAGGCATTTTGCCAGCAATAGCCTCACAAGTTTACATCAAGTTTAGCAATATCATGATGACATAGCATAGCACAGGCGCGCTATGCTGTTTACAAGTTAAGCTCAAATGTTTATATTATTTTAGTTACCTAACGGTACAGTGCTGAGTGAAATTGTTTACAGGCTGTGATCCTGGGAACTAGTAGATTATTTATGGCCATGGATTCTGGGAACTAGTATCTAAAAAAGAATAACAAATCCACTTTACATACACCCACTTTCCTTGTAAGTGGGGATTGGAGATTTCCTCAAGTAACACTGGCCACAGCAGACAACAAAGATTGAAGTAGGAAGAATGGGGGTGTGGGACAGGAAGAAGACTGGTCTGATGGGACATTTCATTGAAATCACTCCCTGCTCTTTTCCCATTCAGGGGGCAGCTATCATCAACAAGGACACCAAAAGGTGCTTGGAAATCCAGCAAGATGACTCAAGATCCTATACTCTCATCCTCCAGGAGTGTACAGGGCAAGAGTGGAACATCCAACATGTTGTCAGAGACTGGGAGAGCTCTCAGTAGTGAAGCTAGCAAGTGACTTGACCCAAGAAAACCTAAATTGGTGGTACTAGCCCTTGCTATTGGAGGGACCATGTCAAGTCCTAACAGTGTTCAGAGGCGAGTGCTCATCATGACTATAAACAGGGACAATTTTTGAACACCCAAGTTATAGGAGACAAATGTCATAAATTCAAATAGCTTATGTATGCAACTTGGGAGATCCATTTTAGGAAGAAGTGGGCTTTTTCAAGGGACAAGGGAGAGAATATGATGACAAGCTGTTTCCACCTTCTCGCAGGAGTAGAATACACTTTGTAGGTATCACTGTTTGAAACTTCTCTAAATAAACACTATTTGGATTCAAAGTGTTTGTGTCTGTTGGTGGAAGACAAAGGTAAGGATGATAGTGTAGACATTCATGTCTGGGTCCTACCAATGTTGTTTAGCCAACAATTTCTATGCTTACCTTATTTATTCATTTCCTCCATAACTTCCCTTTCTCATCTTCTCAGAATGCAACCCAGTCTACTTGTGAAATTCTATCCCCGTACAGTCAGGAGAAACTGTATTCAGTTGAACCTCTAAGTAAAATTCTCCAAAGGATTTTCTCTGGGTAACAAAGATTCTCTTCCATTTCCTCTTCTATTTTATTTTTGTATCTGAAATTGTTGTAGGTAGAAATATACCACTTAGATTTTTCAGAATAGAAGGACTTTGAAAGATCATTCAGTACATCCTTTCTGTTCAGGGTGGAATACTTAATGCATACCATGCAGGTGAATATCAGCATGTAGAACTCAGGTTTTCTAAGCACCACTTCACCCTTATTCACTAGATCACTCTTTTCTAGCCACTGTCTGGTAAACGCAAAGACGTCATGGCATTGTGGATTGAGTGTTAGACAGAAACACAAGATCTAGGTTGAGTACTAGCTTCCTTTAATTTGTATGTTCCTTAAGCTAGGGCTTATCTATGAAGTGATAGGTTGATCTGAAATCTGTGTTGGTGGAGAGAGTTCTCACACAAGGAGTTGCCCATCATAATGAAACTACAGATCTTTTGAGTATTTTTATTTTCTGGTTGGAGTGTGTAGATTAACTTTGTATCTTTGTATCTTACCTTTGTATCTTTGGTGACTAGCATAGTGCCTGGCACATAGAAGGCACTTAATAAATGTTCTGTGGTTCAATTATTTTATTGACTAATGAGTAATTACTAAAAATGTGGGTAATTATGGCAGACAGTGTGTTGACTAATGTCTATGTGTTTACTACCATGTGGGCCTGTATCCTTTGGGAACAGGAAATGGTTTCTGTTGTTGAGCCTCAAAGCCATTTCCAAGAGGCTTTTTGTACTCTCCAGCAGCCACCAGCATCCCTAAATTTGACCCCAAAACCAGCCCAAATCTGAACATCAACTTTCTAAGTCTGGTGCCTGGGAGATCTTACTTACCTTAATTCAACTCCACATAAAGTTAAGGATTTAAAACTTTGTTAAGGAATTAAGGGAAGACAAATTGAAGTGTAACAGGTGAAAACAAACATAAATAAAAAGAACACAGAACCACTGACCTGAATAAAAGAATGATCAGCCTGCCTTAGCCCTGGTATATCAGCACACGGAATTTAAAGATAGGGGTTGGCTGTCCCTGAAGAAATGAGCCCAGAAACTGGTAGCAGGGAGAAATACCCATACTATGAGACCCGTGGAGCAATTCAGCAATGACAGTAATGCCTGGCAGTCATCAGGAGGAATGATCAGGATACTCTCTAGGATTAGGAAGTCACCTTGAGGTCTTACCTTCTGTTATGGGTCAAATACACATGCATGCTAAGCCAGAGATCTTGGGAATAGTTATTTTTTTTAATTTAATTTAATAATTTAATTAAATATTGCCACATCCTTTAACTGAGGACTCAACATCATCATTACCATCATGATGGTAATGCCATTACCATCATGATGCCCCTTTGTAGGGTCATTGGAATGGCTAATTCTTAAGTTAGGTGGCTAGTTGTCTATATCAGAGAGTATGAGCTCTTCCTGATGTAAGGGGTATCGTGGAGACCCTCAGTGATGATGTATTCAGTGGTTACATCACACCTAAAGGGAGCAAGTCATCCTGTTTGCCTCAGTGTCCTCAAGTATAAAATAGGGACAATAACAGCACTTATCACCCAAAGCTATTGTGAGGATCAAATGAGACAATATTTATAAAGTGCTTAGCATAGTGCCTGGCACAAGGTAAGCACTATATAAATACTAATTATTATTATTGTTGTATTGTTATCATTGTTATATGTATACCCATTCTCCTGGTGGATAGTATATGAATTTCTGACAGAATGCACCCAAGAATAATGGAAGAATTGTGCATTCTGACTTTTCTTATTCTATTTCATTAAGTGTCTTTATTTTGAATTAATTGTGTACTCTGGCTGAATAGAAAAAAATAAACACAGTAGAGCTTGTAAGCTATGGTTTTGAATGGGTATGTACCCACAAAATACCTTGAATCTGAGTTAATTTTCTGGGGTGCTGAGTATGAGAGTGCAGATGCCCCAGATGTTGCATTGTCACGCACAATCTAGTTTAGCTTACTTGTGATTTTCCAAATGTAATCCAGCTTGGTCTCTCTTCCTCTTCAACTATGAGCCCAGTTTGTTGTCAATCTGTATTCTCTGCTTCAGATATACATAATGTTGGGCAAACTCTCTATAAAGTGTCCATCTGGATCCATATTGAATTTGGGCAATAGACATTTTCTATTGGCTCATCCTGTGATGAGAATCATCCCTTTCCACCACCACCCTCAAAAGAAATAAGTTAAGCTTTACTTATTTTTAATATACACATGGATACTGGCACCTTCACCCTGTCTTTATATCAGATGTTTCTATGTCATGTTCAGACATAAGGAATCCTAAAGAAAGAATAGGAGTTCTACAGTATGGAGGGATTGACGTGATGTTCTTACTCATTCGATCATTTTCAGGGCATTATAAAGTATTGTTATTTAATTAAGTAGCTTTGTAGACCTATTGTCTCATTTTAAAAGAAGTAACTTTCACAAAACAGACAAGTGGTTTAAAAAGATTCCTGTTAAGAAGCCATGTGTTACAGATAACTTTAATAATGTGAACACAAAGCCAACCAGAAAATGGCAGAGCTTACATTTCTTCTATTTCCAGCACAAGCTGTTTGTCAGTCACATTACAGGGTACTATAAAAACTAATAACAATTTAATTATATATGAAAAAAGTCAGCCAAAAAGATAGAAAATTGTCATAATTATTATTTGAAATAAGATTTACATTCAGTATCTTGAACAATGAACTTGACTATAACTGTATATTGTGTATTAAGGTATTTTCTAATGAAAGCAAATCACTTAAAAATTCAGCTTTTGTTTCTGAAATGACCCACTTCTGAAAGCTGTTGTGAGGATAAATTTATATTTTTAAAGTGCTTTGCAAACCTTAAGGCATTATATAAATGCTAGTTATTATTAGCTTACTAAATAACGATCCCTCCAATGTGTTAGGGGTCCTCCTCTAGGAATGTATGTTTCTTGGATATAGGGTTTCAGTGGAGCAATTTTGTGTGTCTGTTATCCTTCCCTCCCCCCACTTTCAGTTCAATCCAGCAAAACATCATTAGGTACCTATTGTAAACAAAGTTTTGTCCTAAGTGCTGAGAATACAAAGATAAAATAAAATACATTCCTTGCTCTCAATGAAGCTACATTCTCCTGGGGTAAACAGCATGGATACAAGTAAATAAATACAAATCATATACAAATACTATCACACTACCTTTTCCAATCTCATATTTCTTCAGTGATACTCCTTTGAACTTTATTTGTGTAGTAGGAAAAACCTTTTTGCACTCCCTATTTTTAAAAAATTATGTTAAAACTTAGTGAAACATATGAATAGCCTTCATTATTCTTGAAAATCTTGATTTAACACTTTGTGATGGAAACATTTGAAGGTCTGGTTCTAAGTTCATTTTATTCAAATACTTGATTTTGATGACAATTGTAGCTAGAAGAGATGTAATAAAGATAACTATATACCAAAGGGAAGAAGTATATTATTGGCTTCAATTATTAAATCATATTAACTTTTAAATCCTAACCACCAATTATGCAAAGGCTTTTTTTTTAATTTGGCTAATAAATGTCCATATTTCCTGGTGTCAGTTGATTTTCTTTGCAAATTCTTCAGAAGGCATTACAACTTTATATTTTTGATAAATGGATTCAAAACCCACTGAAATTCTTCATTTGGAAGATCTTTGAGCAGTTTTATATTTTTAACAAATGGATTCAAAACCCACTGAAACTTTTTATTTGGAAGATCTTTGAACAGACTCCAAGCAGTACTGGGACAACTCTATGATCTTGATATGATAATAGGAAGAAATGCCCTTTATCAGTACAGATTGCAATCCATCCATGACTCCTAATTATCTGTCATCCCACATATACAACCATTAGCCAAATCTTGCCCCTCCTACTTCCAGAATGTTCCTCTCTACCTCTGAAGTCACACATATACCACCTTAATTCAGTGCCTTATCACTTATTGATTCACCTATTGTAATGACTTAATAATCCTCCTAGCCTCAAGTCTCTTCCCACTCCAATGTATTTCTCCAGGGAGTTGCCAAAATGATTTTCCTTAAACACAGGTCTGACCATCACTGCCCTACTCAAAACTCCAGAGGCTCCCTATTACCATAAGAATCAAACATAAATTCCTTTGTAGCCTTTCAATCTGGCTCCAAACTCTTTTTAGCCTGAATACATTACTTCTTTCCCCACACTTTATGGTGTAACCAAACTGGTTTTCTTGGTGTTGCTCATATGTGACACCTCATTGATCTTCTGTCTGCCTTCATTTTCACTGGCTGGCCCTTCTGCCTGGAAAGCACTCCCCTCATCAGCTCTGCCCAAGCATCACCTTCTATGTGAATACCTTCGTAAACCTCCCAAATAGTAGTTCCTTTCCTTCAT